TTATGGGTTGTGTCAGCACAAAGCAGCTTAAAGGCACAGAATTATCTGGAGCTGGAGAGCTCTGTGGATGCAAACAAACCTGCTGTGGTGTCACCTCACATTAGAAACAGTTTTTTTTGGTTTTTTTTCCTTGGAAAAGACTCAACAAAGTATCACATGGACACTGTGGAAAAACCCAGAGATGAGAGCTGAGGAGGGAACGGGAGGTGACAGAGTTTGACACTGCAGCTCTGCTCTTCCAYTGCAGTGATTGCAGCTTTATCTCCTTTCTGTGCCCTCTGAGGTTCCCTGTGCACAGTGCCAGCAATTGGAGCTGRCTTCTTGGCATCTTGTTCCTGTCACAGCAGCTCTTTCCAGAATTTGTGCTTTTAATTTGACCTGATAACTAAAAAATGACAAATAGTGTGGCTGTGCCAGATAGAATTTGCTTGGTGCCAGTCAAACATCCCTGCCCACTCTGCTCATYCCCCTTTTTGCACTGAAAAAAGTGAGGGTTGGACCTTCTCTTGGAAATAATTTTGAAAAAGGAGCTTCTTTGAGGTTTCTGCAGTGTTTCCCATAAGATTTTAGTGATAAATTGTGAAACTGAAGTCGTGTTTCCACTCCTCTGCAGGCTGGACTGGCTAACCTTCTTCCAGCAGCTGCCAGGGRCTACTGTGGCTCTTTTAAATGAAATTGGTGCACTTTTAGGATTATTAATTAGTTAAAAATTAAAAATCTCCTGGGAAAGGGTACAGAGAGAGTCAGGGATGGACAAATAGTGCATTACTTCTTCCAAAAGACTAAGTCAATGAGAGGAAATTCAGTGTAAGAAAGTCTGTGGAGTGTAAGAATTTGCCTCTGGATAGTTCCTCATCGTTTCTTTGAAGAAATTAGTGTGATGTGAAAAGGGTGCTAGCCTAAAAATGTGCCTGGTGCTAACTGCTTTTTATTAATTTCTTTTTAAGAAGAAAAAACAACCCCACTGATCTGTGAGCAACTGAGCATTTTTTTCTCCTTTTTTTTTTTTCCCCATTCCTCCAGAAGAATGGAAAGGGGCAGAAATAACATTAAAAACTTCATTTTGCTCCAATCTGTAAGACTGTTCCATATCTRGAAGCCTCTAGGAAGAATTAGTGTTTTATAATTTTTAAAATCTATTCTGGATAAGAGAATAGCTGTTTTTACTTCCCTGCTTTCTTCTTGCTTTCCCCTCCATCTCCCAGGTTGGTCCAGGAGGTGTCTTGGATTTTTCTTTAAAATACCATGTACTTGGATTTTTCTTTAAAATACCATGTAAAATCGGTTGGTGTTTTATATAAATTACAGAAAAGTATAAATATCCCCCTGCAAATAGTTTGAACCATGAGCATAATTTCTGCAAAACAAGGAAACGTAAATTTTGTAACTGGAATAAGAATGATGGGTGATTTGTGGAGCAGATCTGAATGCATCAATCTGTAAGACATATTTATATATTTAGGACAAATCTCTATGTTACCACTGACACATTGGTAAGTGCAATGGTGTTTATCAGTGCTGCTGTTCTATTTTCAGTTTATTTGGCTTATTGAGTGTACAGCAGTGAGTAGAATACAGAATTCATTCTGTATTCTGAAATATGACTGAGAGCTCAAACCTGTGCTGTTTTGTTTGATTGGTGACTGATTTTCTTCTTAGATGTATTGTTTTTGTTTTCTTTATTTCTCTTTATTTTCTTCTTAGATGTATTCTGCCATTACATTGCTGCTGCCATATGTCTTGGTATAATATTTAAACTCCTCCTAAGCTGTGTTAAATGCTGATGTTTTTATCCTACTAGAAACTGTTGGAAAGGGAAGCCTACTTCCTGTGTCTATTTTTTTTACTCTCCCTTCTTTTTACTCTCTCTTCTTTTTAATCTCCACRTTTCCAATAATTTTAATCTATGAATGAGTGGAGATGCTGTTTTTTTAGGTTTTTTTTACCTCTTAGCTCATTCAATTCATTTAACTTCCTGCTGTTAAATTCACTTCTCACCCTTCTTTGCTTGGAATTCTTTAATGGCCAACGAAACATCTATACAAAACTTGGACAGTGATCCCATAATACTTCAAACTTATGCTAACATCTTTAATTTTTGTTTTTTAGAGCTTACCAGTTCGGAAAATTCCATGCAAAGCCAATGCTCCTTCAGGGTCCTTTTTTGCACGGGACAACACAGCRAATTTCTTATCCTGGTGCAGAGATGTGGGCGTGGATGACACCTGCCTGTTYGAATCAGAAGGTTTGGGTATGTAKTTCTTTTATGTAKTTCTTTTATGTATTTMWTTTATTTAGTAGCTGGGAAATCTGAAATAACTTCTCTTTTGGGTTTAGCCTTGAAAGACAGAAAGGTTTTTAATAGATCTGGCTCTAAATCTGCCCTGTGCTTGGCACTAATTCTGCCACTTGTCTGTGGAATGAACAAATAAAGGACACCTCACCTAATACTCATTTAAGTCAATTTTAAGAGGAGCTTAAATGAGGGATAATCTTGCTGTGTTTTCTTGCACACAAAGGATTTTTCACCCTCTATGTATTTTTTTTGAGCACGGAATGCTGTTCCTCAGTTCAGTGTGTAAGATGGTGCTTTTCTGTTTTGGGGGAGTTGGATACCAGTGCATGCTCAGTTCTGTCTGCAGACATTTGGCTGTTGGTGCAGATTTAATGAGTTGCACAGGAGGTGAGAAGATACAAAWTTTTTCTGTTTCCTATGCTGGCCATTTTTTTTCCAGCTGGTTCCCTTGTGCAGTTCTGGACAGAAATTATCCAATTCCTCTGCTTCAGAGTGTTCCATCAAGGGAATTGTGCTGCTTAGGAAATCACTATTCCAATACTGTATATTCTTTGCTGTTTTAACTTTYCTCTCTTCAAAGGAAAACTTCTGAATTTTGCCTTGGGAGATTTTCAGCCAAATCTCACGAAATGAAAAGAGTTCAATGTTTGTTATGTGAACCCAGATAAAAGTGTGAAGCATCATAGGGACAGACAGATCAGTTTTACAGAACACAAATGAACATTCTGTGCTGAATCAAGAAGCTTCTTTGTTCTGCTGCTCCAAAAGCCTTTTCCCTGTTGAGGCTCTTACATGTGTTGTGATTGATCTATCCCCATCTTTTTACAGTCTTGCTCTACTTTTGTAGCCCAGCACAAATATTTCTGAGACAATTATTATTATTTTTATCATTTGCGTGTTCTTTTATGGGAGGTTTTTAAAAAATATATTATTTAAAATTTCTGGGAGAAAATGCATGGCAGAGATTGGTATTCCAAAGGTGACAAATAGTGAGGAGAATATATGGATTGGCTATTCCAAAGGTGACAAATAGTGAGGAGAATATATGATATTGTTGTTAATTAAATCCTCAAGATGTGATTCTTATTTGATATGGTGAATCATGTGGGAGATGAGCAGTAATTGTAGCTTCAGTGATTTGATATGGTGAAGAAGTTGAAAGTTTGGAAGTTGAAATGTGGATGAAGTAAATGGTGAAGCATTTACATAGGGCCAAGGAGSTTGTGAACACCAGGAGATTCAGAAAAAAGATTCTGGGAAAAGCAGAAGAACCTTTGGGTCATGGAATACCTCCAKGTATTTTGAATTTGTGCTGCTGTGGTAAACCCAGTTTGGTTTGCCATTGCTCCATCAGAAGTTAACTGTGTGATCAGAACACATTTATATTGAATTTTTTTGTGCAGTGTTAAGGATCTTGTTTAGAGATGGGATTGGCACAGCTGGAATGCTGACATTTCCTAAGTTAATTTTCACAGTAAAGCACAGAGTGCAAATCCACCTGGAAAGGTGATGTTCCAGAGGAATTCCTCCCCCAGAAACTGAAATATGAACAGGTACTCAAACCTCTGCTCTATTTTGTTTGATTTTCTTCACTGATGGAGAAATAGGTTCTGTTTTTCTTCCCTTATTATATAATGCACCAGTAGAACTGATTTATAGTACTGGAAGAACTTCATAATGTTTTGTCTCATTTTTATGAACTTGAAGAGGAGATGGTAACCATGCCATTAAAAAAATAAAGATAAATAAACCCAGTAGCTATTATTCTCCCCCAGTTTAAGCATTAACTCAAATTTTTGCTTTCATCTGAGGTTTTCCTGATGCAGTAGAAATAATGATAAATCCTAACAGTTGCCAATCTAAAGCTTTCATGTTCCTCTCTCTCCCACGAATCACTTCACCACTGCATAGGAAACAAAAAATCCAGCAAAGGTAAGGAATATCAAAGGTTCTTTCCAAAGTAGTGAGAAACRTGTGTGAATGACATCTAAGTGTTTGCAGTGCCTCGTTGAATTCTGTATTTTTTGTGATAAATARTTATGGTTACAGAGGTGACTCTTTTCTGTATTTTTTTCTGGTTTCCCCCATGGCTGATAAATTCAGTAAGTTGGTGTGTAAATTGTTAGTGATAAAGCAGCTTTTTTTTCTGTCTGTTTTGGAGAACCTTACTGTGTCAATATTCTCAGTTGAGTAGATTTCTATCCTTTTTTTTCTTTTTTTACTCTTATTCTGTCTGCTTTATGCTATGTAAATACTGTGTTATTTAATTAGAGGCACACAGTGGTATTTTCTTCCTGCTACTGTATCATATAAAACATTCCTGAGGTCTTTTCCTGGCAAATACGTATCCTAGAATTCTAAGAGTGTTTCTGAAGATTTAGTGCACTGAGACACTTGAACGATGGATTTATGGCACAGCTTAAAATGCAAACAAATTGGAATTTTAAGATTTTGAGCACAGCCAGAGCTGACTGGTAACAAYTTATCTCTAAATGCAGAGGCATGGCAGGAAAATCTCTGGATTTGTGCCTTTGCAAAGAAAAGGTGGTTGGGGTACCTGTTGTGTAAAGATTACAGCAGCATGATACACAGGGATAATCTAAAATGCTGCAAACACAGGGCACTCATTGCCAAATTTAGCATTTTTTTAGCATTTTTAAAATTTTTATAAAAGTGTATTCAAAGGAGAAGGAATAGCTTTGTTGATACCAAAAACTATCATCCAAAATGGGAATTTTGATGGTCTGTGCAGYTCCTGAGCTGCAGTGTCACTAAATGGAGTTCTTAAATGTGTCAGGACTCACTCTGCACATGATGTGCTGATTTTTTCACTGTAAGGATGTTAATTCTGCCTGAAACTCCTCTTTTCCCATCATGAGGAGACTTTTAAATTCTCTTGTGCATGTTTTAAGGCAGCAGATACACACAGCTGTGGTAATTTTATGTATGGAAGCATTTCTAGGTGGAGATATTTGTAATTGTGCTCGCAGGGCCATAATACTCAAAGAAAACTCTCCTTGGACAGATAATAATGGTAAGATTTTTTAAGATTGCTGTAGTGAAATGAACTTAAAACCCAAGTTCTGAGCTCTCTGTGGTAATGGAGTGTTGTTGGATGATTGTAGGATTTGGAAGCAATGAATTTTCTGCATCTCCTCCATGGTAAAGTCCACCCAGCAGGAAAAGGGTTTGCCACCAAGTGTGCCAGCATGCTGATGTGTGATTTGTTTTGGGAGTTTTGGATGCTGTTGGTGGTTTATGTTTTGTGTTTGTATGTTCTCACACAATTTGAGACATGGGCTTCTTTTGATGCAACTGATTGATTAGTGTTAAATGGGCAGGTTTCCAAAAAAAAAAAAAAAAAATTTAGTGTTTTAGTGGCAATAGTTAACTGAAAAATCTCTGATCCCATTCTAACACTGTTGGTTTAAAGGTTATTTTAAAAAATTTAAATGCTGAGTGCTTAAAAATACTTTATACATTGGGGGAAATTATTTTTTAAATTAATACTGTAGTTTATCTGATTTCAAGCTGCAGATTTTTTCTGTTCTTTTATACTGACATGTCKACATATTGTAGCACCCTGTTCAAATTCACATGAAGTTGCATCAGAATAAGATTTTGTCTCATCTTTCACAACACTTTTTACCAAACTACTCATTATTGAAGATGTCTGATTTTGAGGACTATAGAAGCATCCTGGACACTGTTGTTACCACTGGACTTGTATCATAAATTAATGAATTCCAGTAAATTTTTAGTTCAAATGTTATTTATTTAGTGTATTTAGTTTAAATGTTTGGATGATCTTTATATTCCTTCTAGGTGAATTCTTTACTATCCTTAGGTGTACTGTGTTTGATACCTTAATTGTTTTGAGATTTCCATGAGTGATGGAGCTGAAATGGGGCAGGGAGTGTGGGGGAAGGACAAGTCATAGCATAACTGATGCAGAAGCAAGGGTAAGTTTGGGATAAGTTGAGAGTATTGAGAAAGCAATTTGGGACTTTTTTTTTAAAGAAAAAAATCCCTTCTGTAGGATCAGAATAAAAAATATTAAAGGAAAAAGTAAGAGACAATAGGAAGAAGGATCAAAGGACCAACCTTCTGGAAAACTTTCCTTAAACTGATGTGAGTTGTGATGGCAATTGTGACAATAAACACTAAAGCACTTCAGAAAATTCTTTGTTTCTAGTTAAGGAATGAATTAGAAGCAGAGATCATATTTACCTTTTTTGATTAAGCTATGCATGATATCTTTCTCTTAAAAAAAAATTAAGTTAGAAGAAAGACTTAAATTCATTACAAATGGTTTATAAGAGTGTTAAGAGACGAGATTTGAAATTTAGCTGAAAGTCAGGAGAAGTTTATTGCTGTGTTGTGATTGGATATTCTAATGATTTAAAACAAATATGAAACCACCAAAAAAAAAAAAACAACAAAAACAAACAAACAAACAAAAAAATCAACCCAAAACTTGAATGTTTGCTGTTGTGAGCTCTCAGTTTAAAGTGCTGTCACAGTCCAGGGTTCTGATGGTGCTGAAAGCAGAGGCTGCTCCTCCTCTGCTTCTCCTGGTGSCATCCACACACTGGGGAAGGATGCAGAAGAACAGCAGGCAGGAAAAAAATGAAATAAAAAGAGAAAGGGACGGGAACAAGATGGGAGCAGTGTGGAGAGAATAATTGCCAGAGAGGAAGAAGGAAGGATAAAAACGTGGCAGGAGCTGAAAAGGAATTACTGCTGCCAAAGAGTGGTGGAGGCAGCATGGAGAGATGCAGGCAGTGAGGACAGCAGAGAAAAAGCATTTAAAGAGATGAGGTGAAAAGCAAAATGGTCTAAAACTGTCAGGACACCTAAAACAAGCCAGATTTGTATGCACTAATTCTCCCTCTTCCCGTTGTGTTCTTGTCAAGCAAATGCCATCAGTGAGGTTCTCCAGCAAGATGGATATTTCAGTCCATTTTATGCAGATCTGCATAAAATAATATATTTTTTTTGTCTCTGAAATCCCCAGACCCATATGCTGTATAGTCCTCAGGAATGCTGATATTTTCTTGTCAGCAGCCTCCCGGGGTGAGCTGGTGTTTGTTTTTGTGGTTGGTTTTTGCCTGCACACTCTCCATCCTCTAACAGAGATTTCACTGTGTCACRTTGTTTGTGTGAATTGCATGAAATGTGTCGAGATCACGTTGAGTCAGACTTGCTGAAGGTCTATTTTTTAAATAGAATTTTCTTCTAGCTCTATTTATGCATCTTTTTTATAAAGAGTGGTGGTTTTAGCTATCTTTCTCCTCCATTCCAAAGTMATTCTGACCTTCATATATATAAATTGCCATTGACTCCCTTTGACTATTCCAAATGTTATCCCATTTATATTTTGGGGGATGMCTTACTTCTCAAAATCAAGTTTTATTTTGGGGCTGTCCCAACTGGTTTAAAACCGAAGTAGCAGAATAGACTTGTTGGGATTTTTTATAATAACACTTTAAAAATACTGATTACTACTAAAGGTAAATGTTTAATCAAATTACTGTGTTGTGGGAAGGAAGAATATTGAAAACAGCTGAATGTCCAAGTGTCCATCATTTATATTCTCAGTAACAGATGGCTGAAGAATAAATATATAAATAAATGGTTTTTTTCCTAGTGCAGTGCCCTTTTAATTCTCATGCTCTGCAGTTTCACTTCTGAAATATATTTAGGTAATATTAGAGGACAGACACATACCTCTCTAAGGACTACACAGASATTTGGAAAATCTGTTGGGATGAACATTCAACCCATATAAAATATATTTATTTCTGTCAGTAGAGCTGTTAGAGTCACAGGAGCTGAAGGTTTGCCCCAGGGAATTCATTATCTGGAGATGTTTAAGTGTGTGCATTCCCATTTTTGGTCTCATACATAGAACAAACTTTAACTAGACATTGAAATATCTTTTTCAGGTATGGTATTTTTTTCATCATGCATTTGAGTTAGGTGAGTCTCTAGATTACCAGAATTTATATAGCTGATGTCTTGACCTTAGTTCATTAAAAACAAATTTATTTGGATGCTGTTCTGTTTGTTTTCTGATTTATACAAATAGTCACACAATTTTTGGTCTCAATTCAGTCTGAACCGTAAGGTGGAAATCTTTTGATTATTGTGGAAATTCTTAAAATCTGTTTTTTTACCCACAACATGAGGGCTTTACTCTAACAGGTATTTCTGAAGAGTAGGCACCAATGTGCTCAAAATTACTTTTTTTTATCTATTTTTCCTTTTTTCATCTATTGATTTTGCATTTTGCTTACATGCTCTGCTGCAGAATTTCTTTAAAGAGCATTACCTATTCTGAATTGGGGAGGGAAATACATTAGTTTATGGTGGAATTTCATAATTGTTATCAGTCACCCCTGAAGGCAAAGGTGACTGAAGTTCCTGTTAATAGATTCCTTTGGGCAGAAACTACACTAAATGACCAGTGTTAAATATAAATATATATTTATATTTGCATTCATATTTATATATTCATATCTATATATTCATATTTAGGGTTTTAGGTATTTAGGATTTTATATATATGTTAGGTATTTAGGGTTTTGTACATCTACATTCATATTTATATTCATATGTAGAGTATATCTATATGCTTATATCTATGTTTTTATCTATATCTATCTACATATCTATATATATCTATATATTTATATTCATACTTACATTTTTATTTATACTTACTTTTATATTATATATTTGTATATATGTTCAGTGTCTCTTGTTTGAAGTTGTTCTGTGGAGGGTGGGGGCAGCAGAAGAAACTCTTTTTGGTCTGTTTGGGGTTTTTATACTGTGGTGAACTCACTCCTGAAGCATTCTACTTTCATATTTGCTTTAAGAGTGGATGTACCAAAAATTCAGGGCCACATTTATAGCGAGGTACATCTTTGCTAATGCAATTTTATTTTTTTTTTCAAATTTAATTTGGCTAAGAAAAATAGTGGTCTAAAGGATATGGATTCTCTTCATTTGTAGGAAAAAGTGTAGCTCTAATGTTATTAATTTATTTCTAATATTCTACTAATTAAAGTATTCTGCCAGATCTGTTGATTATTTTTAAATAGTTACAAACTGCTTGCAGATTACCAATCACCCCAAATAATTCCTTGGTGATTTAGATAACTAAATGGARCTTCTGAACCTCCTGCACTCTGAGAACCACTCATCAATCCCATCCTTTTTATTYCAGTAAAACTCCACCCAAGCCAACGAAAACAAAGTCATATTGGAGTCAAGAGTTACAGATGTTGATGATTATGTTCCTTTCCATCACCAAGATCTTTAAAAYAGCTTTTATTTATCAGTGCTTTCTGTCCTCATTTTGCTTTTCTAGTACTCCACAAGCAGCCAAGAGAAGTGTGCCTTTGTTTGCTGGAGCTTGGAAGAATTGCAGCAAGGTAGGTGAAAATAYTGAAATATTTGTGTTCTTGACAGCAGTGGCTATTGAGAGACAATAAATCAGCAGATCTCAGCCTAAATTTGTGCCAATCAGGTTCAAATAGAATGTTTGTCTTGATGTCACTCTTGAGGGCAGTTGTTACCAAATTTTAAAAATCTCTGTGCCATCACCTCAGTGAAGATATTTGTTGGCTGTCCCTGTATTGGGAGAGGAAGGATTTGAGAATTTTTAAATTTTCTATAAAGCTTTGAGCCGTTTCTCTGTCTAAAGTCAGATTTCTCTATGAAGAGCTGTGATTTAATTAAATTCACTGGTAATAAATTGATCTTACATGACCTAAATCTGACCATGATGATCCTMCCCGTGCTGGACCTTCAGTACTCTGTAATGTTGTCTTTGACATCAAGACAAAGATTTTTGCCAAACAATCAAAATTACAGGAATTAGAATGTGACTTTCCCCCCTTTTTGCAGATTTAACCAGCACAGTGCATAAGATTTGCTAAAAAATACATGAACAGCAGTGCTGCTGCCCAGTCTGGCATGAGAATTGCAGTTGCATCCATCCATGTGCTGTTCATATTCAGATATTTTCATTAATTTCAGAAGAGCTCCTTGGGGTGACAATCATGTGAAGGAGAGATGTGTTTATTCCTTGCTTAAGAATTAATATTGGCCATGTGACAATTGCATCGTGTGTATTCATATTTTGTGGATGAACTCGTGTGGAAATCTAGAAATTTGTCTCGTGGTTTCAGAAAACCTCTTGCTGTCAGTGGAAGCTTGCATAGGAATAGCAATGATCAAAAAAAAAAAAGAGTTGATTTCAGGTTTTCAATTATTTTGTTATCCCTAAAACYTGGGTTCCARTGGCAAGTTATTTTAACTTCYCACAAAGAAGGAAGTATTTTGATCWGCAGGTGCATAATGAAATYGWTTTKAATGAATCTTAATTTACCTGAGCAGACAAWCTGTGCTTTCAAAATCACCACTTTGGAGATTGAGTCCTGGTAGCTGTAAGTGCCTGGGGTAAAAGTGTCAGGAGCATCTGACAAACAAATAAGTTTGTTATTTGATAGGATCCATCTTCCTCAGGGAATTCATGCTCAGCTCAGGCAGGGCTGGGTTCTGCTGAACTTGGTTGAGTTAGATTAATTCAATTTTACACCAAGATTTGATGTCTCAATAGATCTACAGGGGAATGAAAATAGAATCTTTTCCTTTATATTCATCTTAATGTGTCTSAGACACATTAAGTATCTCAGATGTTCTCTGTTCCTGACATAAAAAGAAATACTGAATAAGTAAATAAACTGTGTTTTCATTTATTATGCACRTCTGTCCCTTTACCCTGAAAATATTTGTGTTTTTTTTATTTATAATACACAAATATTGCCATATATCATTAATGATTTTTTTAATATATCACATTTATGTTTCTGTATTTATATTTCTTAATTTTATTTATAGCTTAGGGATCAGATAACATATCTGTCTACTTTTTCCTATACTTTTTGTAGAGATGCTCTAATATCTTTTCCAAAACAAATGTAATTTTATAATTTACAAACTTGTAGACTTCCAAGGCACACAGAATCTGAAGTGGATCATCAGGTTGATACAGTTTAAAGTCAGATATGTGATGCCAGTTTTCCTGAGTTGGGTAAACTATATGGGAATTGAAAATTGATAATTGCCTTCATTAAGTGTAGGAAAGAGCACATTGAAGTGACATTTTTGTGCTGATTTAAGCAGGAGAGGAGTCAGATGAATGCTTTGTGGAGGAAATGGGGTTTGTTGGCAGTGCTGGGGATCTCCTCTCCAGAACAGCAGCAGCAGAGAGCTCTGAAAAAGTTTTTAAAGGACAAAAAAAAGTAAGAGGCACTGAGTAATTTTGGAGGCAGGAAGATCTGTTCACTGTGCACAGTGAGGGGGAAATGGTGTGGCCACTTGGCTCAAAGAGTGGCAGTTCAAAGGCACTAATAGAAACAGAATTGCTTGATWAATTATCCTGAATTTTGGTTGTTTATGGATGTAAAATTCTGAGCTCATCTGCAAAASTGCAGTGGCTGAAATGAGCCCTTGTGGATACAGGGAGATTTATGGGAGAGGGATGTGTCCTGCAGGATGGAATTGGCCACTGGCAGTGTTGCAGTGGGATGCACAGATCCAGCATTCTCCCTGAGTATCTGAAAGTTGGAGATTGTACAGTGGAAAACAGCTAAATGATCTTTTCTGCACAAAGAATTCAATTCYTGGGTTGCTGCTGAACTCTGGGGGGTGGCTTAAACAACCCTCACAGGTCTTTTGGAATGACAGGTTGAGTGATTTCGATTTCTTTCTGCTATTGTATTCAATTTTACCTGGATAAAAATGGGAGAAGTCTACCAGAGATCACATTACAGCCCAAYGCTGCTTCATTTGTCATTGTGAGGAGCCAGGCTAGAGAGGAGCAGGAAAGGAAATGCTCAGCATACCTCCCCAAACAGAATTTGCACCTCTAGCCCTCTCAGAAAAGATGTTTTTACAATTTCAGCTTTCCAGCAGCTTTGCTTCAGGTTGATACAGCACGTGGAAAAAAAAAGTGTGTGTATGTTTGTGCATTGATTTTATTTTTCAACTTTTCACCAGAGGAACTCAGAACACTGGAAGTACAGGGAACTTTAAAAATCCATCACCAGGACAAAATGTAGAAATGATGAAAAGTAGTAGAAGCAAAGAAGCAACGTTGCTTGCAGTGGGAGAGTTTTATTTGATGAGTAAGGCTGCGTGCAGGAGTAGGCTGAGAGCCCAGGGGAATTGAATGATTTACAGCCTGTCAGCATCTGCAGACAGACAGGAAGTAAATAGATTGTGTATAAAGTGCTTGCCTCACTGTTGGCTGGCTTTTCATGAGGCTGCCTCAGCCAGAAGCCAATACAAGCACAGATTTGGGTCTTGGTTTGCTTTCTATTAATTTATTAGGCAGTAGTATGGCTAAATTGTTATCAGAAAAACCCCAAAACTAGTGTGTGCACTTAGATCTTTTATCTGTACACTTCTAACATTGTTGTGTAATTTAGCTTAACTTTTCATGATATATATTTGTTACTGCTCAATATTTTAGTGTTCAGCTCTTTGTCTGGATTATTCAGTATGGTTCTGCATTGGGTTGTGGGCTTTGCTGCCCCGGAAGAAAATTTGGTTTCATTTGTGGAAGTAGTTTGCTGTGGGAAGCCTACCTGGCATGGTAACTTCTCCAAGCTGAAG